GAGAGAACGAAAGAGAGAGAGATATTGAGAGAGATAGAGAGAGAGAAAGTGAGTGAGAGAGAAAGAGAGAAAGAAAGGGAGAGAACAAAAATGAAATGTTATTCTGTCTACAGAGAACGAACATTTCACTATATCTGTATCCATTCAATATTCAGTTTTAGTGTGACCGTTAGTAAGTTTTTGTTGTATTGTAAATTTTAGTTCACGCATTTCCAGGCTCAGTACATGACTAATTTTGTTACAGAATTTGTTTTCCTTGCATACACATACCTAAATATTGTGTTTTAAGGTGTGCAAACCTGTCCAGTAATTTCAAAATGTGACATCTCTATGAGCGTGAGGCGCTTGGACCTTTTTTTTTTAGAAAATGGAAATACACAGCATAACGTTATTTATTACTATTTATCATCATCAACCTAGTACCGATTCCTTCCAAAATCTTCTTAAGCAGTTCTCTTTTTAGAACATAAGAGTATGTTAATTTCTCTTGTTTGCGTCTTCAATAAAACCAAACGCCCCCCTTGACTCAAAGAAAGCATCCTTAATTAAATGTTTTGAGAACACCGGAGTCAAGATTGGCCAATCAGACGTGGGGCTGGAGACTAATAAATTGTTTAAAAAATAAGAAGAACCCGACCAAGTTTTAGTAACGGCAGTTGGAATAGAAACAGGTCATACAAGTGCCGAAGATTACGTGTGAATAGAGGGTATCGTACAAAGTATAGAAAGAGGAGACTTCAGTACGATAGATGTTAGACAAGAAAGATGGAGCAAACCACAACAGATTACCCGCCTACCACCCACAAAAATGCATGCGACCTGCTAGGACACAGGAACAAGTGGACATACGAAATTATTGGGAGGAGAGAAAAAGTAAAATTTGAACCCTGCTGGGTGAAAACCCGAACTTCTGTATGTAAGCAAAGGTCAGAATCAACTGTGTAAAGCAAGCCTTTGTATGTGCAGTTTTGTGAATTTTCTCTTTGGGATCAAGTCAGTTCACACAAATTGTCAGCCTTTGTATGTGCAGTTTTGTGAATTTTCTCTTTGGGATCAAGTCAGTTCACACAAATTGTCAGTTTTAAATGATAAAGAGAGAGAGAGAGAGAGAGAGAGAGAGAGAGAGAGAGAGAGAGAGAGAGGGAGAAGAGAGAGGGGAGACACAAAAGAGAAAAAGAGAGAGAGAGAGAGAAAGAGAGAGATAGAGGGAGAAGAGAGAGGGGAGACACAAAAGAGAAAAAGAAAGAGAGAAAGTGTATGTGAGTAAAATATGATGTGTGTACGTGCGGCGTTTCTTATGAGTCTGCATGCTGTACTCGACCCACAAAGAAGGAGTAATGAAGATTTCCAAACGTGTCTCCTCTGACTGTATTGTACAACTACGAGGTAGATTGTCGTGTGATTCCGACGTCTGTGGTGTAGCAGTAAGGCGCTCCTGGGTGCTGCACATAGATGACGTCGGTTCGAGTCCTGTGTTGGGATGTGCTGTGTCGATTATCTCGTCTGTTCGTTCTGACGTTAGACTAATGTCTTAAACTAGCTGGGTACCCCGTTCAAAGAACAGAATCAAAAGAATCGATCGTCAAGTCATTGTGGGTTCAGTGCTCACTCCTTGTGAATGGAAACCTCACTTGCTTACAATGGCGTCTTAGAAGACGGACTTTACCAAGATTAGATCTAAACGAAACTAATGAAAAACTAAAAATCAAACTACAGTGACCTCAGACTTTTTAATACAATGTGCACTCTTTAAATGATTCTAAACCACTGCTAATTTTTCCAATTTCGAAACCAAAGTGAACAAATTTCACAAAAATTATAACTTAAATACAGTGATAACATTGAGGGATACCAAAGATCGTGTATAACAAATTTCACAAAAATTATAACAAGCCCTTCTTTGGACTCAACACATTCTAACGCGTTGTTCGAAATGTCCAATGGCACCCAAACAAAAGGCCCTGCAAACCCATGAGTGTTTAAAGCCACATACACTGTACATATTCAGTATGAAGTGGCTTCTAGAGACAATAGGGAGTGCGGTGCCCAATAGACAGCATTTTTGGAGTCAACATATCCCGCAGGGTGAAAATGGACTTTGCGCTAAACCAAATGTCATTGAGGAAATGATCCAACTTTTCAAGACAATCGCGGAATCATGAACATATTGCCATACTCTGATCCCTGTCAAATCGGCCTAGCAAAGATGAAAATTGTACAGTCGTAAATTAAGAAGTGCTCTGAGAATGCAGACTGTTAAGGTTTTAAGAAAGTCCTAGCTGCAGATCGTCTACGGATAGACATCTCATGGGACTCGACTACTGCAATCTGCACCCTGGTGACGTTTAAAGGGCTGTGCTTAGTGTGTGTTCGACCTGAAGTGATCATTTTTTAGGAAACTTTTTGTTCAGATTCGCTATAGATCCAAACTGATGGAACTTCTCTACTCATGACACAAAAGGTATTGAGGGCACCAAAGCATTCTTTCCATGCCGTGCGCAGAACTTACAAAATGTCAGGGATGGGGAGTTTGTGGAGATGTAAATGTTCAATACAAAAAGCTCACTACTCTTCACTTAACTTAACCATGATCTCAGCAAACAAACGAAATTTGGGGAAAATTAATATAATATCTGTAGATGTCTGTTGACTTGTTAAACTGCTGCTACTTGCAATATGGCACGATTGTAGTAATCTTTAGTGGTAGGCCTGATGCAAACTGGTGCGTCATGCTTCGAAAATGAGGACAATATTGTAATGGGTTGGGTTTTTTAATGAGCCATATGGAGCAAAACCATTCAATGGACTTATCTAAAAAGAATATCAGACAAATTCCTTTTGGCTTTCAAATAAATATTCAAATCTGAAACGCAAGCTAAAGAATGGAGGAAGATATTTACAAAACAAGTTGTAGAGCTTTTTTGGGGATCACCCTGTAGTTCACTCCTCTCTCTGAACCAAAAAAAGTGTCGTCAAAATTCGGTGGCACCCTCTTCGAAAAAGGGCGGACTATGCGAACAGAGTTACCCTACTTGTGTGAAAATCAATGAAAGTGAAAGTCACAAAACTGTGCTATTCCTATTCTTCTTCTGGAGAAACGAAAGAGATCTTCAAGACAAAGATTACAGCGCCATCTGAACCAATGTGCGACTTCCGCGGACACTTTTTTGGCTGAGTAAACTATCTTGTTATGTACGATCTTTGGAGGTACGGTAATATTCCTGAGAAGTATTAAATTCCCTGCTTTTGTTATTGGCTGTCATGTTATTTGGTGGCGTCGTGCCGTTGTGAGTTCGAGCCCCAGTCCTCACGTTATGTCAGTAGGAAAGGTACCGTAGACGAATTTTCCTCACTTTACCCAGGTGTGAATGAGCACCCGGCCATGGACAGCGAAAGATCTTTTCAGTATATTAGTGTTTTAGTACCCACAAATGGCAGCTTGCACTGTACGATTCCCAGGACTTTGAGAATGTTTCAGAATGCTGGGGTAATAATATAGAAAGTAAAGCACATAGAGCTAGCTCTCTCTCTCTCAATCTCTCTCTCTCTCTCTCTCTCTCTCTCTCTCTCTCTCTCTCTCTCTCTCTCTCTCACTCTCTCTCTCTTCCTTTCTTTGAGTTCTCTCCCGCATGTCACTCATTTGCAATCCCTCATCAAACATAAACCCACTTCTTTCTTGATTTACCTCCTCCCCTCCTCCCTCTTTCCATCACTGATGTGGTGGGCCTCATCGTGAGTAGTCTTTATTGTTGCTCCAAACTCAATCATTAACACAGATAAGAAGGGTGCATCTCTTTTATCCCTGAATTCCTTTTCAACAAAACACGTCTCACCGCATACCTTTTGCTTTCAAAGTATATCTTTTGTTCTAGTTTAATGTATTCACTGTGGACCCAGTTCTCCTGGTATGCCCTTTTTATCAAACACAGAAAGAACTCACTAGCAAGGTTACCAAGATACGGTTTTTGTAATGACGTTTATTTCTATGGTCGCCTAAACACATACATTCTACTGAAGAGGCTGAGACGCCTTCCAGAACAAGATGAATGTTCAACTGTTAGTTGTATTGAGGGAGTCAAGAGAGCCCTGAAGAATCGTGACATCCCATTTGATAGAGCCGTAGAGTTGGCTTACTAAAGAAAACTGCAGCAGAGGACGAAAAAATAAAAGTAGGTACAAGCAAACGAAATAATGTAATTGCATTTCTATAGCGCACATCCACACTCTATAGCATGCACTATGCACTTTATATATTATATAAATATATTTATTCTAGAGGACCCTAAAACACTAAAACACTCTGAAAGTGAAAGATTCTCATCTCCCCGGAAGCATGCAGTGCAAACTTCAGATTGCACGCGCTCAAATACCAACAAACTGACCGGATCTTTCGCTGTCTCTAGCCGGGTACCCATTCCCGCCTGGGTGAAGAGAGAAAATCCGTTTAAAGTGCCTTCCCAAAGACATAACGTTGGGCTTGTGGCAGAATTCGAAACCACGACCTTATGATTGCGAGTCTAAGAGCCAAACTACAAGGCTGCCGATTTATTTAATACAAATTTCTTGATGTACGTTATCAATACGTTTTGTGTTTTTAAAAAAAACATATTGGAGCTTTACTGGGAAGCAATTTTAATTAATATCTTTAGTCAAATAATAGGGTAAATGATATCTGGATAAGGTAAAAGAAATACAATGTATTCAAATGAATTATCAGCACTTGACTGAGAAGAAACTAATTACTGTGGATGGTTGGCAGGTGCTCTGATGTGGTTTGCTCTTTCTTTTCTATTAAACAGTTGTAGTCCTTTTTTTGTCTATGTTACTCTCTTGTAACACATAATCTATTCTTCGGCACTTATATGACCTTATTATATTGCAAGTGCCGTACAACTCTTACTATAACTAAAACGAAAAATAATTAATTACAATGAAATATTACGTAAAACAGTACGTTCAACGAACTCTGTACGAGGTACCCCTAAAGCCCAATGTCTTACCTTCAACACTGACAGGACACAACAGAAAGTTTCCCATTGACGTGACACATAATCTCCACAGACACCCTAGCCCACCGACCAGATAACATGCCACAGTTTTAGGCAACTTGGGTAACCCACCAGCGCACGCACGCACACACACACATACAAAGCAGAACGAACGAGTCCACCGGACGTGGTGGTGGTGGTTGTCTGCTAGCCAGACTGCGCGCGCACTCACGGGAAGCGGCCGGAAGACAGTGTTGGGTTATTCCCCTTCCCCACTCGCCGTACCTCAAATAATGGTGTCCTTGGTCTCTGGTCCCCAGACGGGAGGCTTTGTGAAAAGCACGACACGAAATGAAATAAAATTTCAGTCCCCCTCTGCTATTGCTGCTATTACTGGAAGGGGAGTTGTCCCAGGATGCTCGCCTACTTCTTGTGTTCGTTCTTTTCCTCATGGGCTTTCTTTCTCTCTCTCTCTCTCTCTCTCTCTCTCTCTCTCTCTCTCTCTCTCTCTCTCTCTCTCTCTCTCTCTTTCTTTCTTTCTTTCTTTGTCTTACTCTCTCTCTTACACCATCTCTCTTTTACTCTCCCTTCTACTCTCTGTTACTCTATTTCTTTCTCTCTTTCTATCTCATTCTCTTTTCCGCTTCTCCTTTCTATCTCTTTCTCACTGTCTCTTTTGCTCTTCCCTGTCTCTCCCTCCATTTCTCACCCCTCCCCTCTCCCTCCCTCTCCTTTCTCAATCCCCCCATCTCTCTCTCTCTCTCTCTCTTTCTCACTCACTCTCTCTCTCTCTCTCTCTCCCTCTCTCTCTCTCTCTCTCTCTCTCTCTCTCTCTTTTTGTGTGGTTTTAGTGGGGGGGGGGGTTGTTTCCTGTGTTTTTTGTTGTTTTCTGTTACTCTGTTGTTGTCTTTGCGTGTAACGACAGCTGGCGGAAGTTCATCGGGACTGGGTTTGCTGAGAAGCCTTGATGAAGCTAATTACCTCACCACAGTGTGTGCGTGGGTGACGCCCCCTAGCAACGTTTTCCTTTTTATTTTCTAGCCTGATAACATTTTATTAATTATCCGCTTCCTCGAAGAAAGCTTAAGTAAAGTTTGATTAAAACCCCTAAAAAAATAGAACTGACTTGATATTTTTCGAACAGGAAAATGATTTTCTTATATTTACAAGTCTGACGTCTCCCTGGTTGAATTACGATATTTGTTCCAAGCTTTGTTGAAAGAAAAGAGATGATGACAGTACTATTGCCCTTTAAACTGGTCCTCTTCTTTCCGGCACTGGGTATGTGGATAAAACAAATTGTAGAAGTATTACGACAACATGCACTAATAATAATGATAATAATAATAATAATAATAATAATAATAATAATAATAATAATAATAATAATAATAATAATAATAATAATAATAATAATAATAATAAAAATTATAATAATTATAATAATAATAAAGCCAGCTTTATAAACCAAACACAAAAGCAACTCCCTATCTACCTAAATCTCTCTCCCTCTTTGTCCTCCCATACCTCTCTCTTCGCCCATCTTTCTATCTATCTATCTATCTATCTATCTATCTATCTATCTATCTATCTATCTATCTATCAATCTATTTATTTGTCTGTCTATCTATCTATCTATCTATCTATCTATCTATCTATCAGTCTGTCTGTCTGTCTATATCAATATATCTATCTATCTATCTATCTATCTATCTATCTATCAGTCTATCGATAAATCTATCCATCTATCTATCTGTCTGTCTGTCTATCTATTTTTCAGTCTATCGATGAATCTCTCTATCGATCTGTCTGTCTCACTCATTTCTACCCCCCCCCCTCCTTCCCTTTCTGTCTAGTTAATTCTTTTTTCCTTTTCCTTCTCCTCTCCTAATCCCATCGCTGTTTCCTCTCTGTTCATATGCCAATAATCACTACAAAGCTTCTCGTTAAACGAAACTTCAAAAGGCGCAACAGCAAATTAATTTCCCTTCAAAAGGTCTCATCTCGTCACCAATCACATCGCCTCATAAGAGCTTCTATTTTCAATTTCACACACGACATTTCACCATGATCTGGATAGCACTTATATGAGCTCACTTCACAGGCAACTACATTTTCAACGAGGTTTTTGATCTTAGAGTTACGAGACCAGGTATAAAAGAACAGAGAAAGCAAGAATGACAAGGCTTTCGTCTGTTCAAATGTTGTTTAGTCTTTCTCCTTTCAAGATTTGTTATGATCACAAGGGTTTTTTCCTATTGATATCAAGTGTGATAAGTAAACAATTTCCACTTTTTCATGACCATTTAGTCTGAATTTTGACAGTATTTTTTTAATGTAGAAGTTTTCACGGCCCAATCAACACAATTTAGATCATGTAGGTGGCTAGCTTCGACCGGACCAACCCGAACAGAGAGGGATACAACGTCCTAGTAGAAAGACAGAGGTACTTGGTAAAAATTATTCCCTCAGTTATTTTAATAAACACATATGTGAGGCAGCGTGGTGGAATCAGGCTCTCGTCAAAATAATCAAAGTGAAGAAACTGGCATTTTTCCGCAGGTTTGTGAATTTTTATCAAATTTTTTTTTTTTGGCTCAACACCTTTCATGCCCATGAAAGAACTCATTTCCATGAGGGTTTTTCTTAAACACGTTAATTAAAGGCACAAAAAATGTAAACTTTCAGTTACCACGGACTCTTAAGCTAAGGAAGTCACTAATCTTTGGCGGGCATTTTCTCACTTATTTTACCTCTGAAAACAGGTGACCTCCACCTCCTTCATTCGCAAATATCTCGACTTGTATGCAAGATAAATAGATATTTTTTTCATCCAAATAAGGACAAGTGAACACATTTAAGATGATACCAATAACTCTAATGCCCAAAAATTGACGAGAGCCTGATTCCACCACGCTGCCTCACATAATAGTATGAACAAAGGGATAGACTAAAATGTTGGATACAATATAAAAAACATAAACCCCCAAAACACCAAAAACTGAAAAGATAAAGAAATACATAATATTTCACACAGCATAGTAACTGCCAGATTAGTAGTAATAGTTGTTGTTGTCGTTGTTGTAGTTGTTGTTATTGTTATTGTTGCTGTCAATGGTGTTGATGCTGTTATTATTGTTGTTGTTGTTACGGTTGTTTTTGTCGTTGTTGCTGTGGCTGCAGTTCCTGAGTTGAACTTCGCACTACACACGACTCTGGTCGTTTCTCCAAAGACGAAGGGTTTGGTCTTCCATCAGAGCAATAAGAAAAATCGTCAAGACAAGACGAAAAAGGACTATTATATTCTCATTTAGATTCGGACTTCAAACATACCCATGCCATGAAAGCCCTTAATCCATATCCGAAAACCGGCGTTAAGCTAAAATCTATTATCTTTTCACTGTTTTAAAAGATTTCCTTACATTGTCAGCAACAATTACTTCAATGTACGCGTTTCCCAAATGAGAAGGACCAACGAACTAAACTGGAATCTGCTTTTAATCTTTGCCGGAAAACGTAAGCACGCGTATTCGATAGCCCAGCTAGCGTTATGGCCACCCATTCACAAAGATGAGAGCTTTCCCTGGTACAGGAAACACTCTGCTTTCCCAGAAGTTCCAAACTGCACTTCAGACGTCAGCTACATCAAAACGCACTTTGCGGACAAGTGTGGGTATCTGCTTACAAAACCATTACCCGTAAAACAAGAGAACAATACGGCAAACAAGGACAAACGCTTCTAGTTCTAGGAGAGGAGATTATTCACCGATTTATCATTTGTCGCAGCTGTTTTTTAAATGTATACAACGGGCGCTATCCAACAACAAATTTGATCCCCCAATACGTTCTGTTCTAATTGTTTGAAAAACACGAATAGGACAACAAGGAACATGAGGGATTTCCTTTCATATGAATTGATCTCCGAGGAGTTGATTCTTGCTGTTGTAATCCATCAATCATTCGTGGCTATTTTCTCTTGAGTGTGTCTTTTTAAGTTCCTGGCTATTTCCCGCTATCATTGTCCGCTCAAAGTTGTTTCAACTCCGCGCTATCAGAGAGCGAGCAGCTTCCATGGGGAACAAAATTATTCAGGACGTTGTAACATACACGGAAAGAAAAAAAAAGAAAGATCGACAGCAAGGCTGTTTGCTAAGCGCTGATTTTTGGTCCAAGCTGATTTCGGCAAGAATAAATGTGATTTTACTCACCGTCGCTCTTCGAAGCTAAAGAGAGAGAGCCTCGGAAATGTAGGCATTACCATCGGCAGATCGTGAGGAAGAACTGTGCAAATGTTTCTCTGATGTGAATGGGCGCTGTAGAGGCTAAGACCCGTACTTGAGGATTCCTCTACGGAATATCTGTCTGTCTATCTGTCTGTCCTTCTTGTCAGCTGGAGATATGTCTCTGTACCTTTCTCTTTGCTTCTTTGAAGGTATGTTTCACTATCTATCTATCTATCTATCTATCTATCTATCTATCTATCTATCTATCTATCTATCTATCTATCTATCTATCTATCTATCTATCTATTTGGAAGTGCGCTTACGCACACGTGTGTGTGTGTATGTGTCTGTGTCTGTGTGTGTGTGTGTGTGTGTGAGAGAGAGAGAGAGAGTGTGTGCATGTGTGTGCATGTGTGTGCATGTGTGTGCATGTGTGGGTATGTGTGTATGTATGAGTGCCATGTGCATCAGAGTGCGTGAGAATGTGTTTGCTTTAATTAGGCTAAGAAACAAGAAAAGAGAAGAGAACGTGGAAGAAAAAACGAAGTAATGAACTGTTTTCTAGAAAACAGCATTGATTTTGTGATTTGTCTCAGGCAAATGCTTTTTTTTTGACGGTTTTCCAGCGGGGTTGTGTGTGTAGGGGGGGGGAGGGGTGTCTGTTGTTTTTTTCTGACGTGAATGCCGCAAGAATGTCCCTAAAGCGTGTATACACTCGCCTCAAATGATGGTGCACACAGACCAATGGTTCTCTAAACACGCAAGTCTTGTCATAAAACGGACCATTAGGATCTTGTCGGACTATTTAATCAACCAAACGCTTTGACTCTTAGCTGCAATCGAGGTAAATAAAGTGAAATAATGTTTTTAGTATCGTTACCCCCATTATTAGACTCAATCTATTTTGAGCAGGTCTTAACCTCCACTCCCTACTCCGCATACTTGCCCTTCACATCCATATGTGTAAAAATAAC